GCGCCACGTATGCCTTTCCTCTCATCCTTTACCGGTTGTACACTCTTTTCTACAAGAATTGTAAGAAGGCGCTTGCTCTCCTTCTGGGGTGGTGGCAAGCATCAGGTGTGTGGAGATGTCTGTGCCTAGCATCTATGTCAGTCGGGATTCACCAGAGAGTGTCGAGCGGCCTTGAAGTTCATTCCTCGGTCTAGTGACTTTTCAGAGCTTAGGAGACTATTGTATCGGGATTTAGTGGAGGGGTCGCGAAGGATCCCTTCTGTGTGTGGCTCGGACTGTCGGCGACAGATTTGCGCTTTTTCTGGTCTTGGGCGCCAGCGGCGGATTACCTCGGCAACCCTGAGTTTTCGCTTACCTGGCTATTGATTTGGAACATGCTATTTATTAATTCGGTGGCGGGGGGGGATTTTCCCGGCTGTCATCGGCGTGATATTGGTCTAGACGAAACGGCTTCGCATGCTTTCTAACATTGTCCTCAGGTGCGCCCGTTCTTGGACAATGTCGGCGAGTTGAGGTTTCGTATTGATCTCTAACATCTCGTGTCCATTGATTTCACATGGGCGGGTGATACTACGTCTCCCCCGTATTCTGAAGTGAAGTGAAACGAATGGTGTTTCTGACGTTGTTAGCCGTGGCAAGAAGGGTGGTCTGGACGTCGCGAATGGAAGGGTTCTTGCGATACGAACTCTATTCTCATCAGGTTTTGATCGGGTTATTTGGGAATTTGCTGAAGATGAACATCAGAACTGAGAGAAAGCATTTGTTATAGATAGATTTCAACGAAAGGTGAATAAAAATGACGAGCTTGGTTGAAGTAAACGGGTGCCGGTCTTCATTTTTTTTTTTTAATCTCCTTTGATTCAATGGAGTTGTTTCCTGTCAAACCCTCCTCTAGGTTCTCTTTGCTTACCTAGTTAATGTCAGTAAATACCTTTCCCGTCGGTTTATTTTACGATCCATGTCGAATTTCCCAACCTCCCCAGTTTGTTTTTTACCCTCCCTTTTTCATCTCGACTGGGTTAGACTTTGATTTTTCCACTTCTTCATTTATTTTCATTTTATCCATCGATGTAAGCGAATGGGCTTCTTGATTCTATGTGTAGGCAGAATACAGCGACTGCTCTTATTTTTGTAGGATGGACGGATCCTATTAACATCTGTTATGTGTAGTTTGAATGTTTTGTTATATTTAATATGTTTTGGGGTTCATCTCCTTCCTCTTCATTTCATGATCAATAAATCTGTACATATTTTTATCCTGAAAATAGGAAAGAAAAGAAGACATTTAAGCTATTTGTACATAATACCATGTTTATATCATCGGGTGATTTCTTTGTCAATATGTGGTATTATGATTTATGTATAGTTAAATCCTGATGGATACTTTCTTGTGGTGAATGAGCAAATTGTAATCGATTAATGGGTCGTGAATCTGATTAGCTAGATCTAGGATAGGAAGTGTTAACCAGACTTGCCACATTCCCTTCCGGTCTTGTGCCAAAATTGTTGTATATACAGCATTAAATAATCATTATCTGGAAAATATGTCATAGCTTAGTTTAGACGGTCGACTGGAGCTTCTGAAGATATATCATGCTAACTATGAGAGTGTACAAGCAACGGTGAGAGCTTATAAAACGAGGAACAATTAAAAGCAGGATCTTTGGCTCTATCAACAAATATTCATTTGATTGAAATGTTTGAAACCACAAAGACACTGCATATTTATTCAAGAAGGAGACAGTACTTAGAAGCTGAGTACACACCTCAAGTTAAAGATAGTCTGTCAATAATTTGATCAAATGTGGAACTGTGGTTATACAAAATAATGAACGAACAATTGTAATTTTTTTGTAATTTCATAAACTCCAATTCATACCCATTTATTTCAAAATATATGTGGTTTTCACATTTGCTTACTTTGCATTATAATGGTTTTAAAACTTGCATTCATTTAATTTCAACCTGTATTTAAGAACATGATTCAAGATGTTAAGTTGATGTTTTGGTTTTGTAGCAATATGTAGTATTGTGTGAAACTATTACTGATGCTACAAATAAAGTTATTGTACCAAATTCTTGGAAAAGATAAATGTTTGAGGCCGATAAAATATTTTATAAAATACACAACCAAAGAACACTGGATATGATCCTTACTTCTTCGTCATTTTTATATTATGTTCATTAAGTGCATGGATAATCATTGTCAAGTAATTTCCCCTTGACAGTTTAGTTTCGTTTGGTTTATTTTTTTTGTACAGCATATCAACCTCAATAGGTTATTTAATGCCAACAACATTTTTTATTGCTGGTAATATTTTCTTTCGTCAAAAATCTGTTTCTGGTAATATTTTTCCTTCAAAATTTTATTGCTGGTAATAATTTTTTCAAAAAAGTATTGCTGGTAATAGTTCACTATTTCCCCATAGCTGGGATCCTAACAGATGCTACGACCCTAGGTCAGGGAACATCAACAAATAAAATTTGGTTCCACGCTAGTCAAAATCTCCTGATCAAAGGCCTTGCTGCTGGACGTAGTTGATCGTCTTACCCAGGACGCGGATGTTGTTTAACATCTTACCCAGGACGGTATTTAATCAACGGATATAGATTTTTCTTGGATTAGTGAATATATCTAAGTATATGACATTCTTTTTTTAGGACCGATCTGTTTTTGTTTTTTTTTGTTTTGTTTTTTTTTTTCTTTTTACCCGTTCTACCTGATTCTAATTGTATTATATTTACTACTCGGCTCAGAAATTGGACTCATTACCCAGAACTTTGAGATTAACCCAAATTTTCCTTTTGCCTTGCCACAAGAAAACCGGTGAGTACCACGGCCAAACATTTGAAAGTAAAAATAAAAACTAAACATTAGTCTTAATGTTGATGATGCTAATAGGTTGCTATTAAAATGAGCAACGGAAAGGATCCATATCTTTCATTATATTCTTTTTTTAGATATTACTCTCCTATACCCATTTTAGGCATTAGTATAACCGTGATGAACACCTTACCATATCAGAAAGAATGCCCATAATAGCTAAACGAAATGAATGTCAAATATACCTATCATCGAAAATAGTTTACATACAGATATGTCATTCTTGCAATTATATACAAATATGTATACACCTATCAGTATAAGTCCCACATAGTGAAAATACAGGGTGAGGCAGAAATAGCACCCACATGTATCTCCCAGAAATACCTCCCACAGTTATGGCTATTATTGGTCAATAAAAACCTCCTGATCAGAGGCCTTGCTGCTGGATGTAGTTTATCGTCTTACCCAGGACGTGGATGTAGTTTAACGTCTTAGCCAGGACGATTGACAGTTTAGAAAAGACAGATCTACTCAAGTGGCACTGCTAAGTTATTTGCATAGAAATAGTTATGGTTAGTATTGGCCAATCATTGAGCTAGCCTCATGTATATATAGAGACCGCCCAGACAGAAGAGAGAAATGATCTTGTGAAACTGCAGCAGCAATGATGACAGCTTATAAAACTTGTAACAATTCAAAACGGAATCCTTTTGCTTTATCAAAAATTCTCGTCTGATATAAAAGAATGAAAACACAAAGGCACAGCATGATATTTCTTCGAGTGGGAGACATTTCTTAGAAGCTGAGTATACACCTCAAGTTATGGATAGTCTGTCAATAATTTGATCAAATGTGCATCGTTGGTTATGAAACAAATGGCGGAACAACTGAAAATTTGCTGCAATCTCATAAACCCTATTTCATACTCATTTGTTTCAAAAATATATGTTGTTGTTTTCACAATTGCTTACTTTGCATTAGAATCGTCTTAAGACTTGCGTTCATTTATTTTCAGCCTGTTTTTTTAGATAGTTTCTACAAAGATGACTGCTAGAGAGAAACCCTAAAGAAGTTTACTGTTGTGGATTCCGAGATAAAATTCGGTCTCCAATAAATGACAAACCCAAGAATTAAATATAAGAAATAAAATGTATTTACACAATAATACAAAGGGAAATACTGTTAGTAAATCCAGGAACGCGATTATTAACAATCACATATAGATATATACAGTCTCGAAGTAGGACTTCCTTAGAGTCTACGTGCTTGTAACTGACTTCTACAAGCGGTTACCTCACACTATTACTCTACCTCCAACTCTATCACAATCTCAGTCTTCTTACTATCTCTACCCACTCTCTGACGATATTCAGTCACCCCCCCCCACGAGGGTGTCATGTGGCACAAGGCCTTTTTAACGTGGGCTTTCCCGAGCCATTAGGCTCGGCCAAAAAATAGCCCATTTGAACCCGTATAAACGGGTTCAGGGCCGGTTTTACCTCCCCGAAGGAGACTCCGCCCTTCGGCGTAGCCTCCTTCGGGTTCCTCCCGCCCATAGGAAGAAAGTTCAAACCGAGCAGTCGGTTCAAAACTTGAACGACTGACTCTGGGTATTTAACGGCAGCAGTCCAAGTAACACTTTGGTCGAGTCCACATATGAAAAAGGGGAGGACCCCATAACAGTTACATTCTTTTATTTGCTAAGATTAGGTACCTCGATTCCATTTTTCGATACCTCTTAATAACAACATAAACATATTGATGACATAACTTTGGTTCCGTTGAGTTATTTGCCTTTCTTCATCGTGATATGCTGTTGTTTTTTTTTACACGACCTAGTGGAGGTACCTAGTTCAGTATATTAGACAAGTGTGAACCTAGTGGGACAAAGAAAACGTCTCCCAGTTTCGTTTCAAGACTTTTGCGCAGTCACTATGAAAAGAGGGGATCCATGCTGGGTTTTATTTTTTTTTTTTTTGTTATTTTTTCTTCACTTTCTGCGATCCCGTCTCTCCTGACAATCGATTAATTTAGATTCGGTTCGATAAGTGTCAAGTGTCGCTATTCCCAACCTTGGATTCCCACCTTCAATGCCACAATTTCCAATCGAACAATAAAACTAATAATTTCAACTGACAATCAACGAAGACACAGCAGACAAAAATCCTACCACCCGGAAGATGAATACGAAGGGGGGGGGGCAAGAAGGAGAGAGAGAGAGAGAGAGAGAGGAAGAGAAAAAAATATACAATTCTTGTGACGACTGAAAAAAAACTTTCTTCTGCTTTCATTTACGCAATTTTTATTTCATCCCTACCCCTTCCCCCGCGCACACCTTCATTCAGTCGGGCGTTCACCGGCAGTTTTTTGGGTTTTTTTTTTCGATTGATGTCTTGAAATAGACTTTGCTGAATTCAGCACTAAATTCTAAAAAGCATCAAACGAAGAAAATTAATTGCTTGCGAATAGAAAAATCGCAATATATGGGGGAGTCCGTCAAAAATATAAAGTCTAGTATAATCCATTTTTTTATCCCATGACGCGTGGGGTTTTAGGCGTACTGCAGCCACGGTAGAAGCGATGTTTCTTGTATAAGCTAGCTTAACGGAGCCCAAACCTCTCCAGCCCGGTTTTTTGACTTCAGAGATTTTCCTTCCCCTAGACCGTTGCCATACAGAACCCAATCTGTCCTGCTATTTACCCATAGCTGGGGTTAGAAGAAGAGGATTCATACCTTCCCCAATGTTATTAGCACGTATGTGAATGTAATGGATTCCACTAGAATTCGAAATCGGCATTCCAATTCCTTAATCCTAGCCGCTATCCATTACTCCATAATGCATCTCCTTAATCTAGTTACGTAATAATAATTTATATACAGATCGCTAGGTTCTATAAGACACACTAGTTAAAATAGCAGGGAGATTACAGAGATAAAAAAAAAATCTTATTTTTAATGTATAAAACGCACTTGGTGTAATCACTCGGAAGACATTCTGACCACTGCTAAAAGAGTAAAACGATATGGTATGGATATATGTGAAGATCTGGCGGCTCTCCAAGATCATCCTGTCGGGAATAAAGGCTCAAAGTCAAAAAAGAACAAGCCACTGATAACGAAATAATTGGCAAAAAATATCAGTGAATTAACAAAGAGAAATTTTGCTGGAACTCAGGCCCTATAACCTAGACTGCCAAAAAAAGGGCTTCAGGTAACGATGTGTTTACCAGATTAGCGCCCACGAAAAGATTAATGGAATAGAGAGATTAACAGAATATCGTCAATAAGTATGAAAACCTTTTAAAACAACAAAAACGGGTAAATTTGCATTTTCTTTTTCTCTGCGACCCCATTCTTAACTTGTAGTGTCAAAACGGTCAGTTCCACCAAACAATCCGTAACTCTAACCTACTCCGTCATGGATATGACGATAAACTACACCCGCATCCTGGGTAAGACGATAAACTATGTCCAACCTCAGGCCTCTGATCAGAATGTTTTGAGGAGTGTGCAACAACCTCTTAATTGCCGGTATTCCCAGGTCCACTCTCACCGAGGTGGTAGTACTATGGGCAAATAGTGAACCCACAAACTGGGGTCAAAACACTAGGAAAGTGTAAAAATAGGTTTTAATACCAGCAATAAATTTTTGGGGGGTGGGGAATTATTACGAGCAATAGATTTTTGAAGGAAATCAATATTACCAGCAATGCATTTTTGAGGAAAAAAATATTACCAAGAATACATTTTTGTAAATAATTAACAGCAATACATTTGTGTAAATAATTATTACCAGCAATACATTTTTTAAGAAAAAAATATTACTAGCAATACAATTTTGAAGAAAAGAAAATATTACCAGTACTCTATTTTAGGAAAACATTGTCGGAATTAAATAACCCATTTTGGTTGATATACCATAAAACAAAACAAACCAAATAAAACAAACCAAGTTTAATTTTTTCTGCACCTTGATGCACAATTTGTGGTGCTATAACAACTAGTTCCACCAACCAACCCCAAACCCTAGCCTAATCTACTATTTTTGTCTCGAAAATCGATACTTAATATTCAGCATTTAATATTTGTTTAAACTCTCAAACTGAATATTTTTTTTTTCATTTTAGATGTCCATACTTTACAATTTGCGAACCGGTTTCAAATTCCATCCTATTCTCTCTCACAAGAAATCATCTATGAAATGGCATGCATCCATCTCTTCAATTCACAGCTATGAGTTAAATAGTAGGGTAGATTTCGCTCTCTAGCCTTATGTGAAAATCAGTCTAAGAGAATTGCAAACTATGAAAATATTAACACGGTTTATTTCCCAAGAATGGCAACTGGCAGATAATAGGTGGAATGCCATAATTACCTACATTCAAAAGGCTCATGTCATTAAAATACTTTAAAATTACACACATATTCGACTATCAACTTAGGGTCCAGTTTATGATTACACTTACAACGTATAGTTAATAAAGTCGGACACAAAGTAAGGGTTTAGTTTTGTGCCATACGCACACAGTAAATTGATCCCCTACTTTGAAAGAACATTTTTTAATCCTTCTTTAGAAATCAATTTTTCCTTAAATATTTCATATTCCCGGAATCAAATCAAACTACATAACTTTTTTTTTCTAAGAAAAATGGTCGAATTTGCGAAATTGGAATGTTAGCCAAAGCCACATGGAAATTAGTGCAAGAAAACAAATTGAGATTTTGCTTGTAAAATTCGTTTGTAAAGTTGACGTTTTCGCGTCATGATGAGTGGTTCGTTAAAATAGTCAATCATAAAAGCCGGGATGAAAATTGATCCTCAAACCGTAAAGTAATTCCCAGCAGGTTCCAATTTATCGATGGAAACGATTTTAAGAGCGTTGGGCATAAAAATCCAAATGGTTATGGTAAAAAGTCAGGAAATATTCCTCGTTCATTGACCGAATGGTTAGAATTACTGTCGATTGAAATTTATAATATCTTTTTATTGAAACACATTTCAGGAAATTCAATTTTCAAGTTCACTAAAGGTTCCAGCTCGTTCTAATACTGATGGCAGTTTCCATCCTAACCTTTTGTTTTTGACGCGACTGAAAGCTAATATCATTATTTTCTTTCTATCTAATGATTACAAAAGTTCGTGCAATATTTGCATTGTTAGCATAATTTCTAATCGAGCAGGGACTTTTGCATGGATCTAATAGTTACTTAATTTTTCTTTTTCTGCTGCTTAAATTATTTAAGTGAGACAACGTTGTGATTTTGTAACGCCAAACTATACGGTCTTTGGAAAACATGGGCAAATATACGCGCAATAAAAAGTATTTTCAAAAGGACGGTTTTTCCACTGACCCCGATTTTTGAACCATCTTCACTCCTCCGCAATGTTTATATTGTTTTAAAAAGCGATTATAAACAGTTGAAAGTGAATTTATACATTTTCTTTATTCTTCAGAATTTACAACAAAAAATAATAAAAGCCATTTATTAGATTGTTTATTTGCACACTATTTACATTATTCGGACTATTATCCTCGTCTCTGTCGCCATATTTATTACAACGTTTCGGCTGTTGTACGCTCCGGCTTTCTTCAGGTGGCTGGAGTATTGAAATGCACCCTTTATTTCGCTCATTGGACACATTGTACAATGGTAAAGGCGTTGGTTAGATCCAGTGACAGGACCCAAAGAGTGTGAGTTCAGTACCATGTTAAGGCAGTGGAGAACTTGGAGAGGGGAATTCAACAACTGATAACTGACATCCATTAGACATTAGTACGTGGAACTAGAACAAACTACCCCAGTGAGCCAAATAAAGAGCTCAGTTCGACATTCCAACGATCTAAGTTGAAATTTGCTGTTGTGACACCCTCATTCAGTTTTCCTCTATTCTGTTTCCGCTATATTAAACTTATTCACCGTTTTTATGATGTTTCAGGAATGGACTTTGAAGATGGAAGCCAAAGTATGAATTTTGGTACCATTACCGAATGATTGAATGATCTTTTACCACTCACTACTGCTCAGTTGGGAAGACATAGTCGAGCTGACACAAAACGATTTTAAATTGTTCTTTTTCTAGATGAATAAACCAAAAGGGTTTTTCAGTGACAAATGGTGTCAAGATGTCTAAACGTCTTATCTGTAAACCTGGGAAAAAAAGTAACTTAATTAGTTTAGTGTTTTTTTTTGTTTTTTTTTTACATATTAAATATTATGGGGATAGATAACTATTACATGCTGTTACACGTTTGGACAATTTTACTGCTACACCCGGTATATATATATATATATATATATATATATATATATATATATATATATATATATTAAGATAGTTTTATGTTTATACGTTCTTTTTATAGATACAAATGATCTGCTTATAATAAACAGTATTAACGACATTTTACCGGCTTGAATGTCAGAGAAATTTTCATAGAAAATATGCGTCCTCCGACATTCAGGTCAGTAAATGTCGTTAATACAATTTATTATAAGCAAAAGCATTTACTTAAATATTTGTATGTATAAAAATAATGTATAAACATAAAAAATGTCTTACAATAATTCTCTGACTTTGACCATTTCATATATATATATATATATATATATATATATATATATATATATATATATATATATATATATATATATATATATATGTGTGTGTGTAATTGTCCGAAAGCTTAGATCTGATTTAAACATGTACCGACATGGTAATTTCCTATCGTCTTTCAATGATAATAAGCTTATCAGACAATATGAAAGGAACTTAAAATAAATAGACACAACTTGTCTATATTATGTAATGAACGTGCATCAATATATATATATATATATATATATATATATATATATATATATATATATATATATATATATATATAGGGACACCATCTGCCGAGTTTCCAATATTACCGTGGCAGTTGCGCTAATATTCCACCACCCGTCTCTCATTTAGTTGAAATTTCCGGGAATAGGTACCTTCTCCATTGATTAATGATTAGAACAGATACCACACATTGATCCTGGCCTAAAAAGATACATGAGCCACTTTTATCGAACAGCACTGTATTTGTGAGATCCATACCAAAATACATATATTTGAAGTTAATCGTACACCTGGGTCGCCATTTCCATCTTATTGTACTTAATTTTGTCTTTTTTTTCCTTTTATTTTCTATATGCAACATCCCCGTCTAAACTTTGTAATTTTATTTTTATGTTGTATTTCTTTCTTTTTTTTTTAGTA